TTGCTAAAATCAGTAAAAACTTTGGAAATAAAGTGCTTCCAGGGATTCTTTGAGAGCTTAAATCAGTTTCTAATTATAAGAAATTTATGTAAAACCGATTAACTCATGTCTTCTCCTGTGGAATTGTTCACAAAGGGTATGAAATGTTCACACTTTAAGAACACAAAGCTCGCTAATTCATTTAGTCATAAGTCCTTGCATCTTTTTGGAACAGCTGTACTGAACCTATTGCCTGGTGTTTGAATGGAACATAATTTCTTTTTTAGTTACACATATAGCTGAAGGCATCAACAAACAAAATAAAACATTGCAGGTAGCTTCAAACACACCACAACCATTCTATTGACATGCCTAATACAGAGATGATTATTCATTTGGGTTTTTATAGTCTAAGCATGAACATTTAACCCTAAGGGTTTATATACTACTTAGCAACACATATTTTCTAAAGATAGTGGATTTAAATTGCATACGTATGCATACATATATACACATCTGTACGTACATATGCACACTTCACAGAGAAATGCCATACAGTTTTGTAAATATAGATAAATAGGTAGGTATGTTAGTTTTGAATACCTGGTATCACAGATAGCAGAGTTCACTCAATTTTCCAGTAAGAGAATGCTTAACACTTTGCAAAATTTAACTGTATTAATTAGATTGCTGTGTGCCATATTTGTATGTTCAAATGGCTTAGGTATTTCCAAAAATATAACTACTGAAAAGAAAAACAGTTGTTTTAATCATAGATAAAAAATAGACTATGATTTTCTTCATTAAAAAAGTCTTCATAGCTGTTTGAGTTGGAGTAAAGACCTAAAATATGCAAAGGAAGCCTTATAAGGTGCTAGGAATAACATATTTACCAACACTCAGAACTGCACATTTTAAAAGTATCTGAAAAAATAGGTATGTCATTAACAGAGATATGTAAGCTTGGTAACTAACTTCTGTGTAGATCGAGCTCAGCTAAGCATGCTCCAGCTAAGAGTTTTTGAGACCAAGCAAAACTTCTTCCCTGACTCTTTGTGGCAGTTGAACCTTTTTATAACATCTGGCTTCCCAAGAGTAGATAAAGGGATGAGCTTTAATGCTGAAGCTAATGCTGAAGTACCAAGAGCAGCATGGCCATACCAGAAGTGAATTGAATAAGGATTGCAGTAACTGGCGAGAAAGGGAAAAAAAAGTGGGTGAAGCTGGAGATGAAGAGAAGTCATGACAGTAGCTTGTTAGAAGAGTGGAGTAGAAAGAAAGAAAGATGAGAATGAGGGAGAATGTCATTTTGGTACCAGACCATAAGCTCAACCGGGGGATATATGATTCCATAGGAGCCTGTTTCTCAATTAGGAAATTGTATTTAAAATATTCATGAAGATATATTGTTAAAGTTCCTGAAGCACTTTTACATTATTTAATGCTGTGGTCATAGATAGTTCTAGGTAACTCCAGAAATAGAATTGCCACCCCCTCACAAAGAATGGATTGTTTGACATTTTTATCAGCTCCAGCCTTTGTTCCATGAAGATGACAGCCAGTTACCTACTTTGGCAAGGCTGGTAGAAAAGTAGGTAGTGAGTGCAGCTGACAGCACCTCACAAGTCTGTGATGCTAAATCAGCACAACCACCACGTGCTCCTTCAATGAGGACGGAATATGGAGGTAGAGTCGTGACAGTATGTTCCAAGGTGTCCCTGCAGCTCTTCCAGCTTTTTCTGTCAATGGTTATTAGTGTTTACAAAAGCATGTCCCTGAAATAGCTACATGGTGTTAATAATAGCAAAAATAGCTATTCTTCTGCTTAGGATCTTTCATACTGGGTCAAAATTGGGCTAAGTTGGGCAAGAACAGGAATCATAATAGCACAACCCAGTTTAAGGGTGGCGTTCAAAACTCTCTCAGGTCACCCATTGAGTTTAAACTAAGATCAGACCAGGACATATTTTTTCCCATCTACAGAAAATCCGCCTGAGTTTTCACAGGGGAAAGTTTTGGCCTTCTGCCACCCATCCAAATGAATTGGTAGTTGCTCCTCTCTGGGCAGAGAAATAAAGTGTTGATCATATTTCACTGAGAAATCCAATTTTTTATTTTTCCAAATTGGCTATATATATGCAGCTATCATTTGTGATTATTGTCAGATAAGCCACAGACAATATGTGAAGTAACATACTGAATGTTCTAGGACAAGACAAGGAAACAGACTACTACAACAGAATGTCCAAGCTCAAGCCTCACATGTCACAGGAGTCTGCCTTAATCACATCAGTGAGAGATAAAGGAAGCTCTATAGAAAGGAAAGGAAAATAAGTAACTTCACTATGTTACAGTGCAATGAAAAGTCATTTTAATGTTTGGTAATCTGAAATGCTTTATCATGTTTGTTGGCCAGATATTTTTCCCTTAGCAAACTGCTGGTTTTGTTCTGTGACTATAAAAATCATACAAAATTAATAAGTTTTTTTTATTTTTCAGTAGTTACAACTTTCTTACAACTGTTGTTTGAGTGACAGTGACAGATGTGGGAAAATTTTCCTTTATTTTTCCTTTAAAATTCATAGTTTCCTTAGACAAATATATGCATATGCATACTTTTGCTGATTTCTAATTTGCCAGTGGTAAAACAATATCCCGTGTAAACTGCAAAAGCTGAGAAATCAAGTTTTGTTTTTGAATATCTGGCAAATAAATAAACCTTACAGCTACTAATTATTTTTAAACCTTGCACATGAAAATGTGATTACACTCACTACCACAGACACTGATTGTTGAAGACAGGATGTTATTAAGTCACTTTGGAGAGCTTCTATAAGACCCACCACATTTCAAGCAGAGCTTTTCTTAACGACATTATCTCATTTATGGAGCAATTACACAGGACTTGCTGTTTGAAAATGTCAAGAAAAACATTGAGCAAACAACTAAAGTGGAATTTACACTCCTCCACTCTATCAAATCATGTCAACTTCATAGACTTAAAATATTCTATCAGGATTTCCTACACCAAAGCTATTTGCTGTGTATCAGTAAAAGATATGAGAGAGGTTAGTTCAACAACCTCTACGTGGGATAAAGCAGGTAATGGATGTGAAGACTACAGAGATTTGTCCATGCTGAGATAATTTTTTTTGTTCAAGAACAGCACATTAATTAATTCTGTGGATTTGAAAACCAGACAAAACTATTTCAAAATTTGGAAGTTAGGAAATTAGTATGGAGGATTTCTCTGTGAGCTAGGGAGAAATGTGCAAAATGCAATGGTTTCAAAAATCTCCATTGATTCTGGAAAAACCTGTGGTTGAATTCCCCATTCTTGTTCAAAATTAAGATTTGATTTTTAGGAGTAGTTTACAATTCCATATGCAGATACAAAGTAGATGGCCAGATAGAGACCATTTTTAAATATCCATTCTTACCATGGACAGTTTTCCTGCCACTCAGTTGAAAATGAATATATAGAGTAGTACTACAGCACTGATATGTATTAAGTAAGTTGATACCCATCGATTATGAGATTTATAGTTCATGTGAGAACATCAGGAAAGCTGTTAGAGATACATAATGCAAAATAATACAAACAACTCACTGAAGAATCGATGATGCTGAAACAGTGCAGATTTCAGACATTTGTCCTCAGCTCTACTTTGAATTAAATTAATATTGCTGTAAGTTTATGTGACAACAGCACTTAAACTTCAAGCCATCTATTATTTCCCTGTATTCCCTTTGATTCTTCATGTATTTAATCCAAGTCTAGCACAGAAGTTAAAAGATATTTGGAATAGTCCTTCATTCCTCAATGAATAACTCAGTGGTACGGTGGTACAACTAGATTGATGTACTGGAATTCACATAGTTCTTTTCCTCTGAGTACCCTAAAAGGTCTTGCTGCTGGTAGTTCTTAAGGTGAACCCATTCCCACGTGGACTTACAGAAGTAGCAGAGTTCTCTCTATTCATAACCATGGAGCTTCTCTGCTGCTCTCTGTTTCACAGCTATTGGTCCTGAAATGTATCCCTGTCTGTAAAGATGTGCTCATAGGGACATCCGAAAGGTCACCACTAATTGACTGCAAGGTAGGATTTTCTGCATGTACAGTGATCACTGACCATAGGGAAAATTAATGCAAAAATTCTGTTTCATAAATATGAATGTGCTTGAGTTAGGAAAACCTTACCTTTTATTTTGTTTATCCTTCAAGGCATTTAATGTGCATTTCTAATATTGCAAAGCAATAAAACAATACCATTTGGCATATTCTGTGTGGTCTAATACTGTTGTTCTTACTCAGATTTTACTCAGGAAAAACAATCTTTCACTTGAGTGACAATTTGCTTGACTGAGGACTGAACAGAGCATTTTGAATCTTACCAGCATTGCTTGATGTTAAAGTTGGACAACAGATCTCATTGCTAATTTGCTTGTCCTGTTGGCCTTTTCTTGGGCTCAGGATCTGCTTTTGCTGTGTGTTATTTGTGGCTGTTCAGATTGCTTCCTTTTGTGCTTTTCACTTCCAGCAAATATTTTGCAGCTATTGTTTCTTCTGCCAGTAGATGTGCATGGAACCTGGTATGTGGAACTTGAACCTCAGCCCAGATTTAATTAAAGCTATTAAACATATTCTCACTGTGGTGCTCAGAAGGAATTTTGGAGACCCTCTTTCGATGAAGCATAAATTTCCTTAATCTGAGTTTTTGCAATTCAAAATCTTAAGAGCAAATACTCCTCGATAAAAGTAGGTGGAGTAGTACCCATTTACAGCCATGATAAAGTCAATCCTAAATGCCTATTCTGACCTACAATATACATTCTACCAGAAAATCAATCAATGTGTGCACCAGAACACTACCTTGTTTTGTAGACTTAACACTGTTTTAAAGTAAGATATTGCCAAATTTCTCCATAGCCTATCGATATGCAGCAAATCTAGCTAGGTTATCACTCGTATGTCTTATGAGCCATACCTAGCCATGGTTTATCCTCTATTCATGCTGCAGGGTACGAAATTCCTGGGTGCCAACCTGCCTATGGCAACCTAGAATTCTCCAGGGCAGGCTCGCAAAATCTTCACCTACTCTCTGGGACAGGTAATGAACAAGTGATGTTTTGTGAAGTTATGCTTTCTTTCTAACCTTTTGATGTCCGTAAAAATGTTGCATTTCTTCATGTCAGTCTCCAGTCTCTCATTGTTCAGTTGTGCTATATTTTCTGAACTAGGGGAATGACAGCTGTTTATTATAGTACACTAGATGCTTGCCTCAGCCAAGCCTGTTATAATGACTATTAGCATATATAAAAACTGAAGGTTTAAGATCCACAGTTAATAGTTTTTCTGATGGAGTTCCTATAATAAAGGCACATTGTATTCTCATGTGATGCCATAATAATCTGGCCATAATAATTTAATTCCAATTCCAATTTTAATTGCCAGTGTTTAAATATTATCTTCCCTTTGTTAGGTTTACGTCAATCTTCAGTCTCCTGAACTATTTTTTTTTCAGTGTTATAGAGGATGTGACAAGATGAAGGAGTTATGATTGGTTCTAGTTTATATTCCTATGCAGCAAATAACAGAAGTTTAAATAATGACTCATTTAGACATATTTTGCTTAGATTTTCTTCTACTTCTCTCGTGAATTCACACTTTGCTCTTTGCTTCTTGACATTATTACAAGTAGCAGGTATGTAGTAGAAATGTTATTCACTAATCCTCTGGTTTTCAATGAAATCTGAAATATTCAAAATTGAAATCAGAAATTAATTAGATAAAAAATAAAGAAGTGAACTTTATATTCCCTTCTTGCATTCTAATTAATGTATTTGAGTAATGGTCATGACTTTTCATGCTAAGAGTGCTGCTAGCATAGGAGAGATAAATAGGATTCGATCAGTATTTTTTGGCACAAGGTACACTCTGTGAAGTGAAAACCAATAATCCTGGAAAAGTGCTTTAAATTCCTATTTTTCATCCCCTTGGGGCTCTGCATGTATGCTCTATTCTTACCTGGGTTTTAGTCTGTTGTAAAAGTAGCTTTGTTCTGATACACGTTCTTGTTAAAACCAGGAGATGAAGAGTGAAGCCTATCTGTAATTCTTCCTTTCAGATGCGTGTAAGTTTTATATTCTAGAGGACAATATAAAAGTTTTTCTCCAAGCATTCCAAAGTTTTAAGTGCGCAAACCCAAGATTATATCTCGGGCTATTTAGATATTTCATACGATATATAGATGCTGAAAGACCATTTTCATTTATTCCTCCACTTTTTAAAAAGCATAAAAGGATCTAATTTTAATAATTTCCTGAATCTCTGCTTGTTTCTTTCATGTTTATTAATCCAAATTTTAATCATATTGTTTTAACAAACCTAGACTTAAAAAAATTATCTGGAATCTTGTTATCCAATTGTATTGAAAACATCAGCTTGTTGGAGAAACAAAAACACTGTGTTTCTTTCTTTTTTTTTTTATCGTGAAAATGAAAAGTAACGAATATGACAACTTCAGCACTTACAGAATTAGGATAGATTCTATTTTATCTGCCCTGATGCACCTTAATCTTCAAAAAATAATTACGAAGCAATAAAAATTTCAAATAGAATACTAAAGTTGTTCAGGTATAAGGCAAAATATTGCAGCTGTGTTTAGATAATCTTCATCTCTGAATACAGAGCAAACATAGCATCTCTTTGAGGGCCTTTCCCAGGAAGACACTACTTCATCAATATGTGTTTTTTTGGGGGGTGCTATATCTGAGGGTAGGTTGAAGGTCTTGGGTTACCCCTGAACAAGCACACTGTGTATTTCTTTTCACGTGTATAATGCAAGCATTTGTTCAGATGAATGTCTGCTGCCTCATTTGAGGTTTTGGCACTTGTAGAGAGCTTCACTTACTGCCTCACTCAAAAAAATACAGGAGAGCTTTTGCCAAAAACAGAGAGATAGGAGTGCTCATTGAATCATTAAGGCTAGAAAAGACCACTAAGATCATCTACTTCAATCATCAACCATGCCCACTAACCATGTCCTTCAGTGCCACATGTTCCTGTTAAAAGGAGTGAAGCCCTATTCCCTCTCCTTTGGCATATACTCACAAAAAAAAAGACCACAAAGCAGAGTCTTACACTGACAAACCAGTTCAGCTGAGGAAGCAGGATAAAATCGACATGACTGAACTAATAAATCCTGAAATTATGTTGGAAAGATGTTTGTATAAAGCGACGGCTCAACATGCTGAGCAGTGATGAACTTCGTAGAGGTGAACTGATTTATACTCTTGCGGAATAGAATACTTCACAGTTAACTCCTAAAATAGTGGGCTGCAATGTATAAAACAAGGTAGGGCTCAAAATAATCAGCCAAAGATGACAGATGGCATTTTTTTCTCCTTTCTTTCTTCTCTTCTTTTTTCGCTGTACTATCAGGTTGATCAAAGCTCTGAGGATCATTTATTATTGTAGGAAAAACTAAAAATATCTTGAAACAGTCACACAAAATAGATAACAGACAACAACCAGTAGTTCTCTTTTCTTAAAACCTTGTGCATGAGTCTATATATAGTAACAGTTGCCCTCAGAATACAAATTAAATCCGCACTGCTGAGAATTTGGGTCTGACCAGGTGAAGGTGCATTATTTAATCACCTCTGCAGTTTGTTTTTGTTAGTCAAACAATTATCTATTCTACTGTCAGAGAAAAGCCTTCTCACAAATCCCTACAGCTCACCTTCGTGCTTTGTCACTGCACTATTGTCATGCAGCCACGTGTGATGTGGGAAGTAAATGATAAGGAATGGGGACTGCAGCAAAACTGCACCAATGGCTGAAAGTGTCATGCACTACATCTCACTCTAAGCACTAGCAGCACAACCTCCTGTACTCTTTGGTAACAATAACATTAACATTTTTTAAAGGTGGACACTTACGGATTTCAGTTAGAGATACCAACTGTGACCAAATATAATAAAAAGACATATCAGAAATTTACTCAGAGCAGATAATATATAGTGCTTATAAAAAAAAAAAAAAAAAAAAAAAAAACCACCATAAAATACAGTAGCACATGTAGTTATTCCTTCCCCCAGAATCAGTAGTAATTGTGTCTGACTTCTCCTGGAGTCAAAAGAGTTTATTTTTTTCCAAATATTTAGCATAACTTCTCACATGGTAAGTGCTAAGCAGCCTACCAAAATGAGTCCCTTGAGACAGACACAGATGAATTTCAAATCAGAAGAAAGAGAAAACTGTGAATGGAAGGAACGTGCCAAGGTGAGAGCAGAGATTATAACCTCTGCACACCAACTTATGTCTGGGTGCTTAATGCAAAATGAACCAAGTTGACATTCTTTCCCTACTACTAAAAACATTTATAGGGTACTCACCTGATCCCATTCCAACCTCAATTCTTTGGAAGAAAGAATGATATAAATTTCAATTTGCTTCTGGACAGTAGGCTTCATTCATTCTTATTACCCATCCAAACATGAACATACAACACAAGTCAAAAGGAACAACATTTCTGTTCCAGCACAGTGTGATCCAGACGAATCAGAAAGGTAAACAGATAAAAACAAAAATGAGAAAGCTTTAATAACATAATTAAAATATAACTTTATAAACTTGTGAGATTATGTAGCATGCTGCATTCAGTAATTTCCAGAGGGAGTGCTTATCCTTGACCATAAACCAAAGCAATCTAGAAAATGGCCACTCAGAGCTGTAAGGAAAGCTGCTGCTAGCAGATGCAGCTTACTTAGTCACCTGGAGAGCTTTCTTTGAAGTTTGCCTTTAATTGTGCTGTCTCCATTCCTCAATATCTTCCTTTTTTTTCTCTCCTTTCTCATCACTGCTTAGTACTCTGGATTCCCTAGTGAGATGCAGTGCAGCCTGCAAGGACCAAATGTTAAAAGGCAGGAAATGGTTCAGCAGCTTCAAGATACCTTCTATGTGAGGAAGCCCCCCATATATCTTTTGTTACAACAAAAACTATTTGTTGCAGTCATCTCTTCCTCTCTTCCTCCTGCTTTTTTTATTCTTTTGTATCTTGCAAAGCTACATAACTCATCATTTCTTCTATCTGAACATTTTATGCAAACCAACTGGCCTCTGGAAAAAAATAAAAATAAAAAAATAGAAGCACTTACCAAAATTAACCTTCTTCCATAGTCATGTCAAGAGCAGTGTCCAGTCAGCAAGAACTGTGAAGATCCCTTCAGCTGTGGGAATAGTCAGAGTGGCAACGTCTCTGATATCTTAGGTGAACGTGGAATGAAATTTGCCATGCCAGAATGCAACTTCTGTCCCGTGTTCACATGATGGATTCATTTCAGATGAATCATGATCTAACACAAGGCAATGTTTGGACAACGTGTATACTCTGGAGTAAGGAATGAATATCTGTAGAATCCTCCATTCACAAGAGAAAACAAACATATTCTTTCTACTACCAGATAATGATCCAGAAAATGTATCAAATGTATCAAAATGTATGAGCTTTTTTGTCTCTTGCAAAATCTCTTTTTCCTCACTAGTTCATCCTTTCATTTTCTAGCAACGAGGATCACTTACCCAACCCAACAGTTTGCACATAAAAGTCACTGACTCTAAGAATCCAAAGTTGAAATCAGTGAGATCTCACAGGCTTTAGAAAGAACCTAACAGATGAACTATAAGGCAGCCTGGAAGAAGACAAAGATCATAACTATTTCTATTACATCAATCGTGTCTCTGTGCATCAGTCACCTTTGAATTTGGGCACACATTTCCTTCCCTCTTTTCATTGCACCACATTCATTTTTTATAATCAGCCAGTCTGACCACATTCTGGTCTTTACAATTGCAATGGTCTCATAGGCAAAATTGGCCATCTCGTTAATAGGAAGTGGAATATATTCTGAAAATTCCAGATCCAAATCAAGTTAACAGATATTTTAAATCAGTCCTCTAGGAGGCAGTCAGCTATTCAATCTCCTTGCATTGGAGAACAATGCTGGGCAATCCCAATCTTAAATTCACATTCTTTCCTCATCATTCCCCAGTGCTGTTCATAATGATGTGCTCCTTGGATGCAGGTTGGGTTCTCACTGCTCATTT